TATATATATATATATTAAAATATATACAAATTACAGTTTGATAGATTTATCTATCTTTCTTTTCTATCTATGAATTTGTTTATTGTTTAAGTTCTCTTAGATTGTAAAAAGTTAGGTGTCTTCAATCTTTTCTTTAAATCATATAGCACAGCTTTTACAAAATAATGTTTATTGTTCAAGTATTGTATTACAGGTGTGACAGGTTATATCGCATCATTAAAACGTGTTTAATTAGAAAGACTGTATGTGATATAAGGTATCAAGCATATTAAATCTTCAATACTGAAATAAATATAAGATCTTTGCATGATATTTTGAAGGGAATCAATTAATTGTAAGTGATCGAGAGAGGTTAGGTCGCATACATACCTCGGACGGTATCTCACCAGTACCTTCCATTTTCTGATCCTCCCGAATTTGCAAATTCTCATGAACTTCGGAGAGTGTCGAGTCATTTTGCTGAATCTCTGATTGAATATTTGTCGATGTATACTCCTTGCCGTCCGTTGAATCCCCATATAACCATTGATCCTCGCTTTCATCCGCCATTTTTCTTGTCTTACCTCCTACATTTACCAAAGCCCTTGCGAGAGACCTCTTGTACTGCTCGTATATACCATGATGAAAACCTGAAAGCACTCTCCACCATGCTGATGACGTTTAGTTTGTCAGATCATGTGGTCGATGTGGTCGGTGTGGTCCGTTTTCTGTTCCTGCACTAGACTACACTAGAACTCTTTTTCTCACTTTTGACAAATATCAAATACATATCTTTCTCACTTTAAAGTATAGAACTACTTATACTTACGATGGAGAACTACTAAGTAGAATTTATATCATGCTTACATCATAATTGGGATATTTGTTATTTGTTTATATTGCTTGTGAATAAATTAGGCCTTTACTAGATTTCATGATGTCCGAAATTAATGCGATAACAACAGTATTACGCAGAATGTTTAGCAAGAAAGCGACTTTCAAGTCTGCGACTCGCACTAAGCCACTCGCCGGTATTCATAAAAAAATGAAATTTATAAAAAAGGATGAATCAGTTGACAATTTTGATGCTGAAGACATAAGTGAATTCGAAACAGATTTTATGAATGTCGGTACTAGTCATAAGATGTATAAAAGGTATGTTCTAACATTTTTATATATTATTATATTTAATGCTGGAAATGCTGTTTATATACATATATATATATTCAATATATATTCATATTTTCATTTAAACAACTGAAATTCAACTATCTACAATCTGTACAAGACTATGGATCTGTACAAATAAGTAAGATAAATATATGTTTAATATTTGGTAAAAGCGAGAAAGAGAGTTCTAGTATAGTCTAATACAGAAATAAAAAACAGACTACATATACTTTACTGAATTCTGTTAACTCATATTGAAAGTGAGAGATATATATTATAAACTTGTATTGTTATGCAATAACTTTATTACCAAAGTAAGCAAGTATTGTAACATCCTCAATAGTAACATCCTCATCTGAGTATAAAATACTTATATAACTTTAGACTTATTATCACTTGCGTGAAAATGGAAAGCAACTGTTATTTATTGAAAATTGTGAAAACATTGCTTATAATAAAATATGTCTAATTAATTTATTATAAGACATGATTTTTTTTTTCAGGGAGATGCAGAACAGAAAAGAACGTTTTAAACAACAGATTGTTCAAAAGTATTTTAAAGAGAAAGAACCACGTTTCCTCACATTTGCTGAAAAGGAACTGATTCAAAAGTTACATAACTTCAATCCTGAAGAGTGGACAATAGAGAAACTCAGCGAGAGTTTTCCTGCTTTACCAGAGACAATACGAAAAATCTTACGCACTAAATGGTTGCCAAAATCAGTGGAGAAGGTTGTGGAATACGACAATGTGGTAAAGCGAAATTGGGAAAAATTCCGGAAGGGTGAATTTCCATTAAGTCCAATACTCAGTGAACATTTGACGAAATTTAAGAATAGGAAAATTATTTCAACAGACAGAGAATTATTAGCAAAACGGTTTGTCCCTATATTAGAATTTAAGAAACCAAAGAGTCAATTGTTCTCTAGTATTGTACAAACTTATCTCGATGAGAAACAGGAGGATATGAAATTATTGTCGCAAGAGCATAATTCAAATAAATTGACAGATAAATCTAATCATTATGAAAATCAGAATTTATTGACTGCAAGCACTATGACCGACAGTATGACTGTTATTAAAAGTACAGAGACTTATAGATTAAATAAGGAATTATCTTCTACATCACGTATAGATTCACAAAATCATGTACCATTTAATAAAAAAAAAGAGAAGCTACTTATATTTGATGAATTTGTAAAGGAGAAATTTGAAGATATAAATGAGGAATCTCCGGAAGAAGGTAGCATTCTCCTAAATGCATACAGGAAGCAAGTAGATGCTAGTCAAGAAGTGCAGAGTACAGAAGTTGCCACAGCATCTGACAATGCAGTAATTTATCCGAAAGAAGGTGCTCCATCAAAAATTGTACGACAATCTGAGAAAGATGTTTCTATAAATTTTAATGATAAAAATAGAAGCTTCAATATTATTGAAGCAGATGACAATTTGTTAAATACTTCCATTATAGCGCGAAATAAAAAAGTAGATGTAGAATTAAACTATGCTAAGCCAATAAAGATCGCAAAGCATCTTTACAAACCTGGCATGACGTATCGGATCAGCGATTGTTATTATGATGATGACGGAGAATTTTTATATCGCGTTCCGAGTGTACACAATTGAAAGTCAACTTATAAATTATTAATTAATGTAAATAACAAATTTATGTAATATACAAATGTAGACATAAAATAAACGAATATTTCTCTAATATTAATTTATTATCAATTTTCTTTATTATATCAAATATAATTGTATTTTTCATATTGTTCGTAGACGTATTTTATTACATTATTTACATTTGAATTATATAAAATAAATACATTTTTCTACTAAGTATTATTCATTCATTTTTTTGTTATACTTGTATAACAAAAAAACGAACAAGCTTTTCAAGCCTGTTGACTTTAGGGTTTACCGTATCTGGACACAAGGTATTGCGAGAATTCCATAATATTATCTATGTGTATATGTGTAGAAAGAAAAACCGAGTATATACTAATGTGTAGTTAAAAAGAAATAATCGTTTTATATTGGTATCACTGCAAATATCAACAGAAAGTGCTGGTTAGGTCTACTGTGCGTAACATAACCTATATATAGAATTTGCAGCAAGAAATTAAATAAGTATCAAATTGATATGCAACATTAATAAATTAATATCGTATTGATATATAACATCATCTTTAAAAATGATATCAACTGTTAGAGCTGTGCTTCATGTTGAACGACATATAAGTTAGTATTAAGGAAATTATAAGTCATAACGTTGCTCTTTATTAATGATATATTTAATTTTTCTTATGGTATAATCATTTATTGCTTGTAATTATTAATCGATATATTATCAGTGGCTATTCACATTATCGATTATTACAGGTTATAATATTGTAGTTAATGGGTTTCATCAATCTTGCACACAATACATAAATCAGAGATGGAGACAAAAGTATGATTTCTGAAATTATCTGTGTTTAAATAGAGAATATTAATATATATTGATATATTTAACATAAAATCATGCCTAAGTTTATTGTATAGTTATATATAGAATATCTATATTGTAGAAAATACAAAAGTGTAAGAATTTGTTCTATTTAAATTACTTTATGTATAAAATTTATTAATATATATCTTAATGATATTGACAGATATGTATGTAATTTGCAATTATAATTGTCTAATTAATATAATATATTTTAGACGTGGATTAACAGCTAATCCAAATACTTTTGGTCCTTTGACAAATTTGCCAGATTATACATTTAAAGATGGAAGACCTACGCCTCTTGGAGTAAGACAAAAAGCACGCTTAGATAAACAACGTGATTATGCAGTATGTAAAATAAAAAAAAATTATTATTTGTTATGAATTAATAAGAAATTGTTATGAATAAATTATATACTATCTTTATTTTATTGATTTCCAGGCAAAAATTATCAAATTAGTAGGAGAGGTGGATTTTGCTGTTGAAAGACATGCTAGAATGCAGGAAAAGAAAAAAGAAGAGAGGCAAGAAATCCTGAACAATAAATTGAAACCTAAAGGAGATTTACTACTTTAAATACAAGCAGATACAATAAAAAAGTAGTTTTTATATATTAGAAAGTAAAATATACTTACTTAAATGTTATCTTATATATGATTGTTTTATTTTTTCATTATTATCCTTTTACTCATGCGAACAATAATTGATATAAAAATCTACTTGGATCACATTCCATTAAAATATATGTAATTAAAAAACAATATTAGAGAAACGTGGTGTATAAAGAAAATATATTTTCCATATTTTACATGATTTCCAATATATACCATATAATATTTTGCAAAATATATATACTTATGTAAAGATATTATTTTTAATTTTACATCAATAATACATACTGAATTAACTACATACTAATAACTACATACTAACTACATACAATTAACTACATACTAATTTATCCTCTAATTGTTTCGTTAATCTCGATTGGCATTTGCAAGCAACACCGATACATAGCCCATCGATGTTTTTAGCAACTGAAACGTTTTAATCTTTAATTAAAATATAAATTTAAATGTAATATATACTATTAAGAAATTATGACGATATACGATACTCTCACAAAGAATACCAATATTTAATGATTCAAGTAAAATCACAAAAAGATTTGCATATTACTTATATATATCATATAACTCACGTTGCAGAACGTGGACATTGTCATCGGAAATGTTTTTCCCGCTGTAATATTGACTGGTTTCTTTGTGCGCAGCATAATTAATGTCAGGTTTCTTGCTGCTTTTGGCTCCAAAGTATACCATACGTATTCATAC